AACCCACGGGCTCAGGCAATCCACTCACCTCAGCCTCCCAAAGGCGCGGGATTACAGGCTGAGCCACCGAGCCCGGCTGTTCCTTACTTTTTTAAAAGAAAGGGTCTTGCTCTGTTGCCCAAGCTAAAGTACAGTGGTCACCCAAGCTGGAGTACAGTGGTGCAATCATGGCTCACTGTAGTCTTGAACTCCTGGGTTCAGGCAATCCTCCTGCCTTGGCCTCCCAAAATGCTGAGATTACAGTTACAATCCACTACACCCATCCTAAAATCAGTTAAAAAGAAAATAAGTAATTATCTAGTAGGATAAGTTCCCTTCAGTGTTCATTTTTATTTTATTTTATTTTATTTATTTTATTTTATTTTATTTTTGAGTTGGAGTCTCACTCTGTTGCCCAGACTGGCGTGCGGTGACTGCTCCCGGCCACTGCAGCCTTGACCTGCTGGGCTCCGGCGATTCTTCCGCCTCAAGCCTTCCAAGTAGCTGAAACTACAGGCACGTGCTACCACGCCCAGCTAATTTTTGATTTATTGTAGACATGAGGTCTCGCCAAGTTGCCCAGGCGGGTCTTGAACCCGCGGGCTCAGGCAATCCACTCACTTCAGCCTCCCAAAGGTGTGGGACTACAGGCTGAGCCACAGCACCTGGCCATTTTTCTTAGCTATTCTTACATGTTTTCTATTCCAAATGAACACATTATTTTTAAAATCATCAAAAATAACATGTCTATTAGAGAGGGAACATCCCTTATTCATCCTATGACTTCTTTCAGACCCTTTTACCTGCTGTGATACTCTGCTAGTGGATTTTCTTCTTCCAGGATTGTCCTGCCTGCAAAGTCAATGGTGACCTTTTTAGAGAGTCGAGAGGCATGTCGAAGTTCTCTCAGCTCCTCCTCTCGTTTCTGCAGAGTTTCTCGCTCAAGTTTGGACAACCACTGGTTAGAATCACTGGCAAAATAATCTGACTCATCATCAATGACTTGGGTCCTTCGAATGCTAAGAATAAAAAGAACATATGACAATTATGTAACCTGTTAGCAAATATGAACTCATTACTGGGAAACTGTTTCAAGGTACCTTACTCTTCTGCTGTCCTGGAGGTTTACTATCTCAAATATAGATGCCCCAAAATGCTGCAAAATCAGGTAAAGCTCTGCCTGGTTCCCAGCTTCTGTATATCATATCTCCATCGTAGGCTCAACTCAGCTCCTAGAACTAATAATCTCAACCTGAGGTAGGAAAAGACACAGCACCATAATCAATTGTCCTACTTTTCTTAGTAGTAGTCTTCACCTTCTAATAACTAGGCTTCAGCCTGGTTTTGCTGTATCTGAGTTCATCTTTGGCAACTTACTCAATAGCTTAGTCTCTCTATAATTGGGATCCAGCCTACTCTTCCTAGCCCATTTGTTTACTGGAGTTCTACCCTGAAATCTCAGTCCTTAACTATTTACTTTTTAAACAATCTGTGGCCGGGCATGGTGGCTCAAGCCTGTAATCCCAGCACTTTGGGAGGCCAAGATGAGGAGACTGCCTGAGCCCATGGGTTGGAGACCAGCCCAGGCAACTTGGCAAGACCTTGTCTCTACAATAAAATAAAAAATTAGCCGGGCTCGGTGGCTCAGCCTGTAATCCCGTGCCTTTGAGAGGCTGAGGTAAGTGGATTGCCTGAGCTCACGGGTTCAAGACCCGCATGGGCAACTTGGCGAGACCTCATCTCTACAATAAATCAAAAAATTAGCCGGGCGTGGTAGTGCACCTGTAGTTCCAGCTACTCGGAAGGCTGAGGCGGAATTATTGCCGGAGCCCAGCAGGTCGAGGCTGTGGTGGCCGGGAGCATGCCACTGCCCTCCAGTCTGGGTGACAGAGTGAGACTCCAACTCAAAAAAATAAAATAAAATAAAATAAAATAAAAAATTAGCCAGGCATGGTAGCACATGCCTATAGTTCTGGCTATTTGGAAGGCTGAAGCAGAAGGTTCACCTGAGCCCAGCAGGTCGATGCTGGGGTGGCCATGAGCATGCCACTGCACTTCAGCCTGGGTAGTGGAGTGAGTCTCCACCTCAAAAAAAAAACCAAACAAAAAATCTATTACTCTACTACTATATGTCAGTTTCTACCCCTGCCACTTACCAGTCCTTCACTAATACACAGTGGCCAAGTTCTAAGATATGGAAATCAGGTCTATCTCTAAGATTATACAGATAGAGAAATTGAGAGCTAGAAGGAATCTTGGTGATATAATTAACTCATTCTACAAATAATGAATGGGGCTCATAGAAATTGGGTGATTATTCCAAAGTTATAAATCTAATTAAGACTCAATTTCTCCATAACGCCAAATAGTGATATACATAGATATAAAGGAAATACTGATATCAGATTCATATATTGATTTCCATTGTTCAGACTCAACTGGAATTACAAGAAGATCTTGCCTTAAAGTAGACTTGGAGTGGGAAGTTTTTAAGAGGACTCAGGAGGAAGTTGGTCTTACATGAAAATCCAGATAATGAAACTGGTACCCATGAACATACCAGCAAAGCAGCCATAACAATAAAGAGAAACCATTTTCCAGTTTCTATTTATCAGGAAATGTACTCTCTTTCTTTCTTTCTTTTCTTTTTTTTTTTTGAGTCAGAGTCTCACTCTGTTGCCCAGGCTGGAGTGGCATGCTCACAGCCACCGAGGTCTCAACCTGCTGGGTGCAGGTGATCGTTCCGCCTTCAAGTAGTTGGAACTACAGGTGCAAACTACCATGCCTGGCTTATTTTTTGATTTATTGTAGAGATGAGGTCTCGTTAGTTTGTCTAGGCTGGTCTCGAACCCCTGAACTCAGGCAATCCTCTCACCTTGGCCTCCCATAGTGCTTGGATTACAGGCTTGAGCCGCCCCACTGGGCCCTGCACTCCATTTCTAATTCTATTTCTAATGACAAGTTTTACCGATTAGGGTGAAATGTGATGCTTAAAGGATTAAGAGTAAATATGAGTTACTTACCTTGTGATGGGATTACTTAAGGGAATAGCTTTTTTTTTTTTTTTTTTTTTTTGAGTCAGAGTCTCACTCTGTCACCCAGGTTGGAGTGCAATGGCACACCCACGGTCACTGCAGCCTCAACCTGTTGGGCTCAGGCGATCCTTTCGCCTCAGCCTTTCAAGTAACTGGAACTACAGGCATATGCCACCACACCTGGTTAATTTTTGATTTACTATAGAGATGAGGTCTCACCATGTTGCCCAGGCTGGTTGCATAGCTTTTTGTATTATATTTCGTGTATTCATAGCAAATGGTTTGGAAGTAGCAGGTATGTCTCACCAACCAATTATAATGCCAAGAACAGACTTTCAGGTTCAGTTACAATAAGAGACTCAAGGTCTCTCAAAGAACCGTCAGATTCTTACATGGCCATTTGAGAAAGAAACATTTAAATCCTATCTAAACATTCTTTACCACTAACTGGTTTTCAATACTTATTTTGTCCAAAAAAAGAAAAGAATGAGGGCCAGGCTCGGTGGCTCAGCCTGTCATCCCAGCACTTTGGGAGGCCGAGGTGAGTGGATTGCCTGAGCCCATGGGTTCGAGACCCACCTGGGCAACTTGGTGAGACCTCATCTTTACAATAAATCAAAAAAATCAGCCGGGCGTGGTAGCGCATGCCTGTAATTCCGGCTACTCGGAAGGCTGAAGCGGAAGGATCGACGGAGCCCAGCAGGTCGAGGCTGCCGGGAGCGGCCACTGCACTCCAGTCTGGGTGTCAGAGCGAGACTCCACCTCAAAAAAACAAAAAAGAAAAGAAAAGAAAAGAAAAGAATGAAAGAGGAGTAAATAAAAAAATAGAAATAACAAATTATAAATCTGTCTCCCAAAGAGAAGTTAGTAGGCTAAACCATAATAATGTAGAAGCGTAAAGTCAATTTAGGTATATTTTAATATACTGATTATTAAATCAGAAAACAAATTTGGTATAAAAGGCCAAGAATAAATCATGCCTTCCTATGGCATGGTATAACTTATATTCTCCCAGAGGCAATTCCTTACAAATTCCCTAGAGCCCAGCCTAGCAGTTTGAATGTAGTAGGTACTCTAATATACATTGACTGAATGAATGGCTACAAGTAAAACAAGTGGAGATGTCTGAAAGCCCAAATCAACTGTCCAGGGATTACACAAGCTTTTGCCAGGAATCAAAAAATGCTACAGAATAGAATTCTTTTGGTGGGAGCCTATCTTATTCAAACATGTTTAAATAACAAGATATAGACCTCCAATGTTGAGCATCCAGCTCTTCTTTTGCTGCAAACCCTTTCATATTCCACCTTGATGAGGTATCAAGTGCCAAAATAATGTTTTGATGGCCTGAATCTGTGAACTAGCCTATTTCTTGGTAATTCTAATCCCATCATACCTAGTTCTGTCGAACTCTAATAGCTTGTCTTTATGCTTGATAGCCTTCTCCAGACCAGACTTGATTCGCAATTCTTGATGAGGAAGAAGGTCCTTGGTAGAGATTTCCATCTTTCCAGAATTCTCCATCCCTGAAATTCAATAAGGAAATCAAATGGTGCCAGCTTATCAATACAAATTAGTCGTATCACTGTACAGAAAAGAACAAAATTTCAGAACTGGTTCTGGCCTGATGGCCTGGAGCCTTCCTTCCATTGGAAAACAAGTGCATAGACCAGACTGTACTTATAAAAGCATCAAGCAGTGCTTGACATAAGTACTAGGTTTTCAATAAATACTAGGTTCCTTGTCTTCCTTTATAGGCTAAAGGGACCAGCCTGTTTAATAACACAATACAAAAATACAATGAAAAACTTTACTGAGTAGGATTGAATATCTTTTTTTTTTTTTTTGAGCTGGATCTCACTCTGTCACCCAGGCTGGAGGGCAGTGGCACACTCCTGGTCACCGTAGCCTCAACCTGCTGGGCTCCAGAGATCCTTCCACCTCAGTCTTCCAAGGAGCTGGAACTACAGGCATGCGCCACCATGCCCAGCTAATTTTTAAAAAAATTTTATTGTAGAGATGAGGTCTCGCCAAGTTGCCCAAGCGGGTCTCGAACCCGCGGGCTCAGACAATTCACTCACCTTGGCCTCCCAAAGTGCGGGATTACAGGCTGAGCCACAGAGCCCGGCCTGAATATCATCTTTAAACGTAATTTTATATATCAAAACTAAAAACTGAATAGTGGAAGAAGAGAAAAATTTCAAGAAAAAACCCACAAATGATTAGTTAATAAGAATCTATTAGATGCTAAGCCTTAATTAATATACATTATATCATTTCATTCTCACAATAACCCTATAAGAAAGTTTGTATTATCTGTTTTACAGATAAAGAAACTGAAGTTTAGAGATGATGATAAATTTATTGAGTTCATTCACTTAGAAATTAGAACTTAGGTCTAACTCTAAAGACAACATTCATCCATTGCCCATGTGTTATCTCCTTTGTGACAGCAAACTAAAAATTTATATATCCCAGAACAGCAAGCCATAGATAATTATGAAACCATCATCCAAAATGGTCTAGGAAAACAACTATGCCATAATAAAGGCTGGCTTTTCTCTTTACGTAAAACTCCAAGTCTGTTCAAAAACTATCAAATCTTTCTTTCTTTTTTTTTTTTGAGTTGGAGTCTCACTCTGTTGCCCAGACTGGAGTGCAGTGGCCACTCCTGGCCACCGCAGCCTCAACCTGCTGGGATCTGGCGATCCTTCTGTCTCAGCCTTCCAAGTAGCTGGAACTACAGGCATGTGCTACCACGCCCGGCTAATTTTTTAATTTTATTGTAGAGATGAGGTCTCGCCAAGTTGCCC